GTTATGCAAAACACCATTGCAGGGGGCTGTGCTGTGCATAGTAGGGTATTTAGTAGCTCCTCTTTGGTCTCTAACCATAAGATATGCGTAGTCCCTGCCCCGTGCAATGGTGACAACCCAAAATGTCTCCAGGCATTGCCAAATGTCCTCTGAAGGAGGGGGCAAAATCACCCCTTGGTTGAGAATGACTAGACTAGAGGGAATTATATGACTGCCTTACACTTTTAAGAGCTGACCCTGGCCACACCCTGGCTAACGGATGAGAAGGACAGAGTCTGAAGCCCAGGGGACTGGTTTGGAGGCCATCAGAGCATCACAAGTGAAAAATGGCCAAATTCAAAGCCACGGCCAGCTCCTGGGGCAGGAGGAGAGGGGCCAGTGATCCAGTGGGCAGGGTATTCCAGGCACCTCCCATGCTGTCGTGGATGTACCAATGGCATGTACAATATGCTGGTTCTAAGGATCAAACCCCATCTGGAAAAGAGAGTCCTGGGCCACCGATACAGATCACGCTAAGAGACTGAATGTCAAATGACTTGGCCAGAAATGGGCCATTGCCTACCCACTGCTGAAACAAGATGTCGGGTTGGAGAAGTCAAGAGAAAGGATTTGGCTGGGGGAAGGAGTCACCATGGTGATGAGCGCCCCCTGCTGCCTCTCAAGGGAGAGGCGAGGGTGCGTCCCCTTAACTCCGGGCAAGCAGGAGGGGTACCAGGTCCACTCTGAGAGCTTGATATTGCTGGCATTTAGGGACCACAAGACTGATGGGAGACTTATTTATTTATTTATTTATTTATTTATTTTTGACCATGATGTGTCTTCATTGCTGGGAGGGTTTTTCTCTAGTTGTGGCGAGTGGGGACTATTCTCTAGTGGTATTGTGCAAGTTTCTCACTGTGGTAGCTTCTCTTGTGGCAGAGCAGGGGCTGCAGGGCACACAGGCTTCAGAAGTTGTAGCATATGGGCTCTAGTTACAGCTCCCAGGCTCTAGTGCACAGGCTCAATAGTTGTGGCTCATGGGCTTAGTTGCTCCGTGGTATGTGGGATCTTCCAGAATCAGAGATTGAACCCCATGTCTCCTGTATCGGCAGGCAGATTCTTTATCATCGAGCCACCAGGGAAGCCCCTGATGGGAGACTCTTATTGCTCATGTACTACGAAGCGCCCAGCACCCCAGGTCTGGCACATAGCAGATGCCTGATCAAGATGGTGATGTGAGTTGGAGCCTATAGCTGGAAGGGCCTAGGTGGCAGAGTTGGGATGAGACAGGGTGCATGGGTGGGAGCCAGGCTGCTCTAGGTGTAGGGCAAAGGGGCAAAAACCATGGGCTCCAGGGAGAAAACCACCCTTGGGTCATCTCTGACGCATAGCACTTCCTGTGGGGAGGAGCCTTGGGCAGGAGGAGCCTGGAGACCACCACTCATGTAGGGGACAAGGGGGATATGGTAAGCTGTGGTCAGCAGGAGACTCAAGCATCTCTGGTGCTGAGGAGCTATGGCCAGAGCAATCAGTAAACAGGTCTCCTAGAAACCTGCAAGAGTGCCCCAAGAGAGAATGAGCTGGAAACTGCCTCCCAGAGGCCCCAGTGTGTGTGTGGGGGGGGGGGGGTGGTGGTGGTGGTGACAACTCTAGCTGACATGAAACACTGCGCCCTTTGCTTCCAAAACCTTTCTCCCCAACACAGTTGGCAGGGTCAAGAGAGAAGTCGTTGGGTCCTCCCACTCCTAGGCGGGTTCCAGACAGGGTTCATTTGGACAAAGGGAGAAGCTCCACCCTGGATAAGAGACTGCAGCTCTGTCAAGTCCCCAGGACAGGATTGCATTCTCATCTGGTGACTTGCCTGGAAGTGCCTGGAAAAGCTCCAAGACTTGCCCAGGATTTCATGCAGAAAGAATAGGTCCCCAGAACAAACGTAATAAGGAGTGAGACTTTCTCCTTAGACCCTCACTGGTTATCTGCCTGTGCTCAGCTCCAGGCCCTGCTATCAAGCCCCTACTCCCACCCCACCCCCACTGTAGTGTTGCTGTCATTCAATCGCTAAGTTGTGCCCAACTTTTTGTGACCCCATGGAAGTAGCATGCCAGGCTTCCCTGTCCTTCACGATCTCCCAGAGTTTGCCCAAATTCCCGCCCATTGAGTTGGTGATGCCATTCAACCATCTCATCCTCTGCTGCCCTTTTCTCCTTTTGCCTTCAATCTTTCCCAGCATCAGAGTCTTTTCCAATGAGTTGACTCTTCACATCAGGTGGCCAAAGTATTGGAGAAACAGTATTTCCAATGAGTATTCAGGATTGATTTCCTTGAGGTTTGACTGGTTTGTTCTTCTTGCAGTCCAAGGGACTCTCAAGGGTCTTCTCCAGTACCACAATTTGAAAGCATCAATTCTTTGGCGCTCAGCCTTCTTCGGGGTCGAACTGTCATGTCTGTGACATGACTACTAGAAAAACCACAGCTTTGACTATATGGACTTCTGTTGGCAAAATGATGTCTATGCTTTTAAATATGCTGCCTAGGTTTGTCATAGCTTTCTTTCCAAGGAGCAAGCATCTTTTAATTTCCATTGCAGTGGGATAACCTCAACAAACTACATCTCCCAGGTTCCTTTCCTAAATGGCTCCTATCTTAGATTTGGCCAATGGGAGGCACCGGTGGGCGACTGGAGGGTGAGAGGAGGGAGAAGCCAGGACTCTCTGCTCATGCCCTGTCTCTAACAGTGACTCTGTCTCCTCCATGTTTCCAGATAACTCTAGATGCCCCAGCTCCTGGCTTTAGTAATGCCACTTGCGGCCCCAGAGATGGTGGTGGCTTCTTGTAGTTGCTAAGCTTCGAATAGTATCCCTTTCCCCTAATTCTTATTTTAATTTCTCTAACATCTTTATAACTAATTCCTCTGTATTAAGGACCTTGTATAGCCTGGCCTTTAAGTTTGGGTTTCTTGGTGGCTTAGATGGCAAAGAACCTGCCTGCAATGCAGGAGGCCTGGGTTTGATCCCTGGGTCAGGAAGATCCCTTGGAGAAGAGAATGGCAACCTACTCCAGTATTCTTGCCTGGAGAATTCCATGGACAGAGGAGCATGGCAAGCTACAGTCCATGGGGTCACAAAGAGTCAGACATGATGGAGAGACTAACACTTTCACTTTCATAGGATCACTAGACAGAGGGCTTGCTTACCTGTTGGGCTGGCTGTCACCCACCTCTTGGAGTCCAGCTGGTGGAGCTGAGTTGGAAGGTGGAATCCCCGGAGGATCCCCATGGTTGGGTGGTGGTGGTGCTGCTGCTCCCTGGCATGGGGAGCTGTTGGAGGGAATGAGTCAGGGGGACCCACTGGGTTTGGGGTGTGCAGGGGACATCCACGGAGGTGACACCCCGCTCCTGGCCTTGACTCTCTCTCAGGGATAAGGAAGTCCTCCAAACTGCTCCCAGACAAGACTTGTAAGAGCCAGAAGAAATCTTCATGCCAGTTTTAGAGGCTGACCCTCTCTACAGAGTTAATGTTGTGGGCTACGCTAGCCTCGCCCTCAGCGTGGCCCATGTCTCAGAAATGTGTGGGAACCAGGTAATTTCCCAGTCTCCTGATCAGGAGGTGGGATTTTCCATCCCTCAAGGGTCACTTCCCAGTTCCTCATGCAGTGCCTAGAAGCATCATTCTTACCATCCCTGGGGTTGGTGGCCAGAGCAGGGGGTCCCTTGTTTTGGGGCAGTGAGGGAAGAGAATAAAGTCCTGCCCACTCTGCCCCCCAGAAATACCCTGTGTGCTAGGGCTCCCAGGGCTGGTGGAACATTTTGGTCATTCAGGGCTGGTCCTGGTATTAGAAGCCCTGGCACTCAAAGTGGCAGCTAGAATGGGTGCTCAGATGTAAACTCCAGGGAAACCAGCCTTCGTGGCCCTTGGCCTGGGCCAGGCCCCCTCTGGGCCCCCACAGCGTCCTGGACAGTTTTCTGTCCCAGTCTCTGTTTACTTGTCTGCTACCAGGACTGGGGACTCAAGGAGGTCAGGGCAGGGCCAGGCTCACTCTGAGGAGGGTATGAAGAATGTTTAAGGATAAATGAGCAGATGAATAATAGAAGTAACAGCTAATATGCACGCAGAGCTTACTAAATTACTTAGATACTTACATTATAAGTTTACATGCATATATAATATATACTATATTGTTTAGTTGCTCGGTCCTGAGGGACTGTATGCAACCCCATGGACTGGAGCCTGCCAGGGTCCTTCTGTCCATGGGACAAGAATACTGCAAGAATACTGGAGTGGGTTGCCATTTCCTCTCTAGGGGATCTTCCTGACCCAGGGATTGAACCTGTGTCTCCTGCATCTTCTGCATTGGCAGGTAGATTCTTTACCGCCGAGCCACCAGTGAAGTCCAATATATACTATAGTTTGTTTACTCCATAACTTTCGATCTTCAGACTATCTCTTTGAGGTCAATGCAGAGATTCAGACTCAGGTGGTCCGACTCTAAAGTCTAAATGAGTGAATAATCTAGGACGTCCCTAGCTGAGCTCGTGTCAGTTTTGTGCGAGATTTCCCCAAAATTGTGCCACACTCCTCCACAAGCGTGGAGAGCCTGACGCGGGTAGGAGGGGTAGGTGGACCCAGGCAGGTCGACAGGCAAAGCCTCGGGGCAACCACAAGCCTGGTAGGAGCCTGTCCCCCATAAGGGTTTCCCGCGCCACCTCTGGAAAGGTTGATTTTAATAGGAGGGGATGTTAGAAGGAGGTTGCAGGGTCTCAGCGGACTGCGAGTGGCTGGCGCTGGAGGTCCGGACCCAGCGCGGGGGCGGGCAGACTCGGGTGAGAGTCCGGGCTGGGGTGCAGGGCGGCCGGCTGCGGGGAGGGTGCAGGAGGAGGGCAAGGAGGTGTGTCCGCGCCCGGTCCCGCCCCCCGGCCTGTCTCCGGCCGCGCACCGGCTTTCGCTTTCAGTCGGAGGCGCGGAGGCAGTGGAGCGGGAGCCGAGGCGCAAGGGCGCGAGGGTTTGGCCAACCCGCCGGCACCTATGGCGCCCACCGCCTTCTGGGCCGCGCTGGCGGTCGGTCTGCAGTTCTGGGCCGCGGGCCGCGCCGTGCCCGCCCAGGTAGGTGACTCGCGCGGCCCCGCGGGGGGCGCCATCCCACCCACCTCCGGTTTGGCGCGCGTCCCCCGCCCCCGGGGCACCCTGACAAGGGAGCTGGACTCCGAGCCATGGAAACAGGATCTGACGCGCGCGCCTTTGGAGACCTTAAGGGGACCTCGGGTTTGGCACACGTGCGCCCGAGGTCCGAGGTCCGGAGCTCTGGACACCGCGGTCGGGGGTCACACTCTGGTCCCTCCGTCAGCGCAGCCCAGGGAGTTGGTGGCCGGCCAGCGGGCTCTGGACAGACCCCAGCCAGACTCTGGACCCCAGCTCCCGTTACCCCTGCGACCCCTGCCCTCCCCAGGGTGGCTTTGGGGTGAGGGTAGGCGGTGAACTGTACTGGGGCGCTGTCCCCACTGCAGATGCCCGGCACCTTCTTCAGAAGACTTCCTCCTCTTCTGGGCAATGCTTTTCTTCTTTCTTAGAAATACTGGGGCTGCGCCTCTAAAAGAATAGTGCAGGTGTGCAGTAAGTGCCTAATAAGGGAACATTCAGACTATGGGCTGTCTTCTGTGCCCTTTGCCCAGACCCCACTTCAGAGTCTGCCCTGTCTGGACTCTAGGGTGATGGGGAGGAAGATACTGTCCTAGAGTACCCCTGGTCTGACCTCCCTGAGGATCTGGGGACAAGGGTGAGGGAGGACTTCTGGGCTGGTTGTCAAGACTGACATGATCTCTAAGGGGCTCCAGGAAAATAGAGAGAGCAGAGACCCCAGAGCTGTTATTCAGTACTGACTGCACTCACCAGACAGCAAGGGAGAGCGTGCAGAGGACTGCTCCTCCTTTGCCCTTTGTGCCTGGTAAGACTGAATGGCCCCATTTTGCAGAGAAGGAAAACTGAGGCTCAACAAACTCCTTGTGTTTCATGGAAGGGCATGGAAAGGTGCTCTTCCCTCAAAGAGGACATCTCTTCCTTTCCCTTCTTGGCAAGTGAGGAGGTGTGCCTTCATCCCTTCTCATGATCTTATGTATGGGTGTATACTGACCCGTCTGGACATCTTGACCAGGGAGGAAAGTAGGAGGTGACACTGACTCATGTGAGGTGACTCACAGGCTAAGGCTAAAGATACCTTAGAGTCCAGCTCTCCAGGGCAGAGGATGGAGGCTGTCAGATTAGAACTGACTCACTCACATTTGGTGTGGGGGCGGGTTGCTGCCCCAGAGGTTGTTGTGTAAACAGAGGAGGTCAGGAGAGTCCCAACTCTGAGACCTGAGTATGGATGCCCATGGCTGTGGTCCCCAGCCTGCCTGCAGGGTGCCAAGACTAGGGGCATTGTCTGCCTCGGCAAACCTGGGTCATGAGAGCTCCTGGGGGGAGGAGGTGTGGGGCTTCTCTTCAGGACAGCAGCCCCTCGTCCTGGAGTTGTTAGAGGGCTTTGCCTGAGTCTCTCGCTTCCCTCCCCTGTGACCAGCTCCCATATCAGCTTGTTCCCTCCTTCCCAGGATTGTCTCATCGCTGGGGCAACCATCCTCAAAGTAGAGCACCTCTCTCCTTGCCTGAGAAGCAAAAGGTCCCCAGTAACCAAGGCAGAAACTGCTCTCCCCTCCACCCCACCTGCTGCCCCCGTGTCCCAGGCCAGAGCGAGTGAGGCATCCGGGTGTTTCACGGTCGGTCGTTATGTATCTTCACGCTCGGTGCTGTTCCCTCTCCATGGTAACCCCTCCCCCATCCTTCAGGGTCTTTTACACGTTTCCCCCTATCCCTACCCCAAAGCCTTTCCTCAATTTCCCAGTTGAATTTGATGAACTGCTTTTAGAACTCCCAGCCCTTCATCTCCCTTGTGGAGAGACATTATTCTATTTTTTAATCTGGTGTTTTATCCACTTCAGTAGATGGAATGTTCCTTGAGGACAGGTTCTGTGCAATCTTCCTCCTTATTATTAGCACCGCAACAGCACCTGTTTTTTGAATACCCACTGAGTGCCAGGTACTAGGCTTTGAATTTAATTGCAGAGTCTTGCTGAACCCTTCCTTATGGCAGCTCCTAAAAGGTGGTCTTCTCGTTAAGAGATGCAGAAACTGAGTCTCCGAGAGGTTACGACATTTCCCAGGATTGTAGAACTGGAGGGTGGGGCGTGAGGAGACTTGAATACAGGTCCGCCTGATTCCAAAGCCCTCCTCACTCTACTCCCCCTGTGCCTGTGTCCCCTCCTGCCCCCAGCCGGGTCCCTGGCACTCGGTGATGTCCAGTTATATTGGATGTAACAGAGCAAGTTGCAGAAAGAGCCCCAAGGAGACTTGAACTGACTGCAGGTGCAGGAGAGTCACTTTGCCAGCTGGGTTTTTGCCTCCTTTAAAGCTGTATGTGCCAGCTGGTGTGCAATGCATCATTCATTCACCTAGTCATTCATTCATTCATTCGACAAAGAAATGCCAGTAAAGCTGACAGGTTAGGTGGGCAGTTGGTGCCGTCTGATGGGGATGGGCAGGACCCCAGCTGTCTAGCTTTCTGTTGTTGCTGGGAGGGGGTTGAAGGGACCTCTACCTGCTGGGCGACCTACCTTCCCCTGGAAGTCCTGAGGCTGAGGGGCCTCTGTTTGCCTTATTCTTTGCTTGGGGCCACCTTGAATTAGGGGAGAAGTTGGGGGCCCTCAGTTTGGCCTAGAGATATCGGCCTTTGGTGGAGATGGGTGACCCAGGGCACCTGCTGTCCTATTTGCCCCTATCTGAGACCCCAGAGGGGAACCTGCTTGCCGGCTGAGGATGTGGCCCTCACTGTGGTCTTGGGGCCTGGCCCAGTGGCTCCTGGAGCACTCTTCTTTTCCAGGGCTGGGAGACATTTCCGGTCTTGACCATCAGTGCTTCCTGGAGGAGTAGCCAAGAAGGATGGAGGGGGAGAGTTTTACTGCCATCCGTGGGGTGTTTGTGTGTGTGTGTGTTACCTTCAGCTCTACACATCAACTTAGTTCTCAGCTTTATACGATGCTGGCTGCTTTTCTGTTGTTCAAACGTGCGACACACACACACTTGCCTCAGGCCCTTTGCACTTGCTTCCAATGTTCTCCTCTGGTCTCTTTCCTGTACTTGCTTCTGCTCAAATGAATTCTTCTCAAGGGTGCCTTTTCTGGCCAACTTACTTAAAAGCTCCCCTCCAGATACTCTCACTCCCATAATCTGCTTTTTTTTTTATATAACACTTCTGGCTTATTAAATTTCTTTCACTTGCTTTGTGTCTTTCTACTCGACTGTTAAGTAAGGTGTGGGCAGGGACTTGTTCACTACTGTAGACTCATAGCCTAGAAGAGGATTTCTCATTCTCGGTGCTCTTGACCCTTGGGCTAGGTGGTTCTGTGGGAGTTGTCCCGCGAGTTGTAGGATGTTTAGCAACATCCTTGACCTCTACCCACGAGATGCCAGCAGCACTGGTCCTTCAGCTGTGACAGTTAGAAATATCCCTTGATAGAGCTTCCCTGGTGGGCAAGTGGTTAGGACTCTGTGCTTCCACTGCAGGAGACACAGGTCTGATCTCTGGTGAGGTGACTTTTGCGTGCTGTGAGGCTCAGCCAAAAAAAAAAAAAAAAATGTCTCCAGATACTGCAAAATGTTCCCTGGGGGAGAAATTATCCCAATTGAGAACCGCTGGCTTAGAACACTGCCTGACATGTAGTTAGTGCTAAAAATATTGAATTAATGTCCGAAAATATTCATCTGACCTTTATAATGACCCTGTTTTTTAGATGAGATAGCTGAGTTTGAAGAGCCAGTGGTGGCAGGCGGGGCTGGGCTCCAGTTTGTCTCCTCTCTGGGGTGATTCTCTGGGCTCTTCCTCTGCTCTGCTGGTCTGCTGAGGCTAGCAGTGCTCTCCCCAAAGTGCTCACCCGCCCACATCCCCCTCTCGGCTCGTGACAGGGCCACCCACTGGCAGTGACTCAGGAACCCAGGAAGCATGTGATTTGCCCGGAAGCAGGCAGGGAGGGAAGCCAGGGGTTTAGGATAGAGCTAGGGGTGCTACCGAGGGAAACAGGAACAAAGCAGAGATGCTGTGACTCCCGCTTCGGGACAGCCCATCAGGCCCCACGAAAGCAATACTGATGACTTAGAAGAAGGGCTCCGGCCTCAGAGGCGGACAGACCTTGGCTCACCCGTTACTTTTCTGTTTATAGACTGTGTGACCTTGACATATCTGTCCGTCTACAGACGCCTGCCTTTGTGTTCCCATCTGTAAAATGGGAATGATCCCTCACCTCTCTGGCTGGTTGTCAGGATTAAAAAGTGCTTTCTAAGTTGTGCAGCCCATTGGCGGTTGTTAGAGCATCTATGGCTTTGCTGGACCTGGGAGTCCCCGTAGAGTCAGATCCCCAGGGCCCCGCAGTAGGGGTGGCAGACCTCCCTGTGCCCAGAGCTCCTGCCCAGAAAGAACAGTTTCCCTCCTGCCCGCCTTCTAGCTCTGCTTCCTGCTCAAGATCCCCTTCCTGGGGCCCCTCACACCACCTGCCCAACTCTCTGGCCTCAGGAGCCCAGTGGGTGGCAAATGCTAAGGGGTCAGGAAATCTTCCCCTCCCCCGACTCCTTTCAGTGAGTGACAGGTGCTGGATCTTATTTGAGGGTGAGCAAGGGGGACATGGGGCATAGAATAGGGGGGTCTCATTACCTTGCTGCGGAGAGGATGCAGAAGGCCTCGACTTTCTCGCCATCAGCAAGATGGGCATGGGATGACTCCAGACTGCCTTTAAAATCTCTTCCATCTTTGACCTCTGCAATCTGGAAGATTCTGTTTACTTGTAACCCTGAGAATGGGAAGCCCTGTGAAGGCTCTTCTGAGGTCATGCTGTCCATGGCTGCCATTCTCCAAGTGGCTTCTGAGATAGCAGGGCCCTGATAAAGGAGCACTGGCCTGGGGGCCAGGAGACCAGAGTTTCCATCTGTGCACTTAAGTGTTGGCTCACTGTGTGACCTTGATCGGGTTACTTAACCTCTCTGGGCCTAAGCACCCCTATCTCTATAAAACCTAACAGCACTGA